AGGACATTCAAAATCTGTTCCTTATATCCGGAGTTCCTTGTAAGCATATAACGAATTAGTTTCTTGTATCAGGAGTTTTTATAGCGAACAGATTTACATATAACGAACTGATTGTTTACCGTCGTCCGCCATTTTGAAGAGCATTTGATTAAGAAAAAATAGTCATTTATTTCTGACTTTGACACAATATCCAAGAGCGTACTTTTTGGAATTTGAAAATCCTTTGCTATTCCACTCAATTTCTCATAAAATATAATATTGTGTTTCTAAACTCTTTTCGTTTTCTTTCAATGATTGAGAATAAATAAGATTTTCGATTATTCCTTCCTTTTATTTTGAATATCTTCTATTATATTTAAAAGCTGACTTTTACTAATGAAAGATCAAAGCGTACTTTGCAGTTTGCAATGGATCATGCTTGCAAGCATGTGTGATTATGTTGAAAACCGTATTATAAAGTATTATAATTATTTTACTCGAGCAAAACTATTGAAGAAAAGATATTATAGAATAAAAGGAATAACCGTTTTTTCTTGGTGAGTAGAGCTTATGCTAAAAATATCCTAAATAGAAAACTATACAAAGTCATTTTGATAGATGTATTGAAGTACATACAACAATAAACGGTACGTTCGGCCGAGTTTTAATCCGTGCCAATGAAAACTCATGTTGAAAATGCGGAATCTAATAATGGATAGCCAATATTTTGGAGTGCGTTATAAAAGTCTAATTTTCTGTACTTTTAACTAAATTGGGACTAAGAAATGAGTTCCTTATAAGCGATAATTCCTTATAACCATGTTCGCTTTAACCGTAAATTTTTATATTAAATAAAGAAGGGCAAAATTCGGGCCAAAATAAATTGTTCCCTATAACCGGAATTTCGCTATAACCGTGTTCGCTATAAATGAAGTTTACTGTATATATATAGTAAAGTCATTCATAATTAACAATACAGTTAAGCTCCGCCTTCTGCCAGCATATAATGTTACATGCATGATCAGTTACCAATTAATGGAATAGCAAATACATATATGTATATGGAATGTAAATTCAACAGAAACATAACACACTATCACATATTCATATACCAAAATTAACATTTTAAAATATTACAACAGAACCATTATAGCCTTCCATTGCTTATCAGAATGAATATTGCATTGCTTCTTTAATATACAGTGTATGGCACTATTCCAGATGAGTAAAACATTTTCTCAAAAAATCAAATTTAAATATATATAATGTATTACATATAAAAAACATTTATTTCCCTCATTACTGTTGATACACAAAACTGTAGCTACAAAACAACTTTCTACATTAATTAAATTCACAAAAATCATGCATTTCAAAAATTTTAACAATTCAGATTAGTCATCTCGGCAATTACATGAAAGCGAAATAAAGTTATGTTGTTATTCTAGTTAATTGCAGATTTATTATACAAATAAATGTAAATAATCAATACTGTGCTAAGAGGGTATGGTGCTTTAAAAACAAATAAACATGTATCTCTTTCAAATCTCTGTTCTTTCTTATCAGGCTGAAGAATTCGCAAAAAAGATAAACTTTAAGCCCTTGTTCATGATATACAGTCAGGAAGGATAAACATGAGCAAGCAGGGAAAAGGGAAAGAAAAAGTCTAAACTAGCTCCTAAGGTATTGTCATATTAGCAGTCTTATGTGCCATCTGTTTTAATTGACCACAGTCTTCAAAACAAGATTGCATTTGTGAAAAATGCTATGCATTAATACAACACTAAATAGTAGTGTAGGAACAGTATTTTTGTTTGTTTCTATACAACTGAACTTTGCCATAATGCAGTAGAGTTTAGTGAATTTGGTGGTCAAGGTCATATTTCACATGGCCTAAATTTCATGACTTTATATTAAAGGACAAGACAGTAAGTCACTTTATTGCTAGTGGTAGTTTAACTTTGAGAGACTTGATGAATGAAATAAGGCAGCAGAGAATTTGAGTACAACATCAGTGAGAGAAAATTTAAGGCAATTCAGAATCTGTTTCCTGCGAAGTAAAAAAGCTCAAAAAGGCTAAAGATATTGTTTGGAAATACAAATGAAATATGGTACAGTTTGAGTTTAATGAAAAATTGAACAACGTTGTTGGGCAAGTTGTTTGGACTTCGAAAAATAACAAGGTCACAAAGGTAGAATATTAAAAAATCCGTCAAAATATAATTTGAAATCAGGCGATTTACTTAGTTGTTTGTTTTATGAGAATGTCACATATGTGATGTAATGTTTATGTAAGTGAATATCAAAGTTCAAGGAAAGTAACCTGTGCTGTCATAAATTAAATATGGAAGGGAGGTAACACCATTTTGACCTATGACTGTATATTTTTCTGGCAATATTACCCAGAATGCAATTTCCAATCATATTCCTTTTCCTGTCAATTCTCAGACAACAACAACACATTTCAGCCTATTAAAAAATCTTAAAAATCTTATTTCGTAAACATCTCGTATATCTTCGGAAACTATCGGCAGTTTCCGCGAAAGTTTACTATTGACGCTTCGAGAACAACCGTGAGCATCCGTATGTTATATAGCATTCTCGATTATGAACTTCTAATCGGTGGTACTTCTCAGTTTGAAAGAGTAGACCCGCACCATACCCCTCCAAATATCTCAACGGATTTACGTGATTTGCAAAAATGATCCCTCCGGCACGTGAAAAACCGGAACTTCCGGCACATGCCGGAAAACTTGCACCCATGAAATTAACAAAGGGCAGAAACTCAAAAAATAAGAAATGCAGAGTACCAGTTCTTGTGCACTGCCCTTCTTCTTAATGAGACCTATAATCCTATGAAGTTTCAAGTCCATAGCTTTTATACTTAAGGAGAAATGGCCCAGACAAAAATAAAGTATGAAAATTGACAAAGGGCAATAACTAAAAAATTATGAAGTGCAGAGTACCGGTTCTTGTGCACTGCATTTCTTCATAATGAGATCTATTATCCTATGAAGTTTCAAGTCCATAGCTATTATACTTAAGGAGAAATGGCCCGGACAAAAATAAAGTATGAAAATTAACGAAGCGCAATAACTCAAAAATTAAGAAGTGCAGAGTACCGGTTCTTGTACACTGCACTTCGTGTCATTATAAGAAGCATGCATGCCAAGTTTGAAGTCAATCCGACTTATAATGACTGACTTATGCTCCGGACAAGCTTAAGGGGACGCGGACGATGCCAACACCGACACCGCTGACAAAAGTAACCCCTATATGTCGCCTTTTTCAAGGTGACACAAAAAGGGATAGATATAAACTCCTGGATGTAATGGCTGAACATCATGAAAAATTGTTAGTTGAGGACAGTGGTTTACACATATCTACAATACATTGTCAATTCATTGGTGCATCCATCACCTGATGAAATTGTTCATTATGAGTGTTGTGGTACAGCTTGTTTGGATATAAAGTGTCCAAGGCATGTGAATGTTTGACTGAAAAAATGGACTTATTCAGTAAAAAAACAACACATCCATATTATTATCAGGGTCAGACCCAACTGGGTGTTAAAAGAAATGATTTTGCATACTTCAATGTTTAGTCATCATTTGCAACTCATACGGAAATCACTATCTGTATATGGTGTGCAATGAAATGTGTTAAAAGTCTCATTTGGTCTTTTATAATGGCATGTTTTCCAATTAGCTGGAAAAGTGTATACCTGTTTGCCAATTTCTAACAGGCCAGTTGTCCACGAAATACGAGAAAATTCAACATATTATGTGTGATGTATATGTGAGACAGTGGAATTTGGTAGAATGATTGGATGTGACAGCATTGAGTGCAACGGTGAATTTGCTTTTGACAAAATCAAGCTGGGTGATTATATAATAGATAGTTTTGTGATTTTTGACATTTGACAGTGCAACGTTAAATTTTCACTCACAGTTATATAATAACACTTTGCTTATAATTGTATGATGCACAAAAAACAAAACAAAAGGAAAATATTGTGCACTAAATGAGTATGGACTATATAGTGTTTGTTGATATCTTTTATTTATCAACTATGACATCTAGAAACAGTATATAATTTATAGTCCATTCTCATTTATGATGGAGATAACTACATAAGATGGAAACACTACGAATATGATTGACAAATTTTTTTATTACAAATGGTGTAAGAAAAAGGGGAGCTAACTATATGTGTGAGGGTGATGAAGGCACCCCTATAAAAAATGTTGAGCGTTCTTTGCGTTAGTTATTCAAATCAAATTTACATGAGTAAAGTTGAAACATTGTTATTTTTAGTTGTGAACAATATTTAGTTAAATGATATTAATAAATGCCACATTTTTGTTGTTATGCAACGGCAGTTTCCACCATGTTTTAATGAAAAAGAATAAAGGCAATGAATTAACAACATATTCTTTTCATTTTAGACTCCTGTATCATATTTGCAATTTGACCCGGCCAACATTTGGGGGCTCGTCCGGGATCATAATAATGGCATGTTTTCGTGATGTGGTGCGGCTGAAGAGAAATTTTTTGGCCCTCATCCTATAGAACTGACAACTTTAGTATTAAGACTTCTTCACGAAAGAAAGAAATTCATAAATGTAGATCGAGATGTTGAATTTTGCGACAGAGATGACAGAATCAATTATAGAAGAGGAAGACCAAACTGCTTTTCTTATTGCTGATCTTGAAAGTAAGATACCAGAATGCAAAGTAAATGAAAAGTCACACAAAACTCTTTCTAAATCAACAGAGAAGTGCAGTGAGAAAACAAATCCGACACCAGTCATGTGGAGATCAGTAAGGCAGCAAGTGGCACTGCGGTTATTGACAGACATGATAAATTGGGACAGCCATCTCACCAAAAAAGTGGTTAATTCACTTTGTAGGTTGTCACCATTGGGAAATTATATCTAAGCAAGTTAATAAGAAATACATTAATAAGAAAAGACATTTATTAATCAGAGAAATAAGGCATGAAGCTCAGGAACATGGGTCAAAACTTCTATAACCAAAAGGGTATGATTTGAACAGGAATTCTTTGGAATGCAGCTAATCTGCCATTGATTAAATTGTTCTTTACACTAGTAACCAGTGATCGATATATAGAACAAATTTAATTGCTACTTGCAACTTACTGATTTGTCAACAAATAAATGAAATCAACATTGTAAACTGTATTTAGGTAATAATCAAGCACTTCTGTAATCACTCATTTATGATGGAGATGTATTGAATATAATCAGAAGCATATCACGTTATATCTGCCATATTCAGCCTTGTACTCTACTGTGCGTAAGTGTTGGGACATTATACAAAGATGCCGAAAGTTCAGTGCGCGATACCAATATGTGAATACGAAACTGCTGACCTAGATGAGGCTATAGTGGCCGCCTTGATTACTACACATGCCAAAGTTCATGATGCTTCTGTGACGCCAGCTAAAGCTGAAAAAGTCAAAAGGCAATCAGTTACATCCGCTGGCACAAGCCAGGAATGGTCGTACTTTCTATCCAGATAGAAGGATTATGTGGAAGCTACCAAAATTAAAGACAAGGAGTTAATTATTCAATTTCTTGAATACTGCGATGCAGACTTCGTAGGGACCTAACGAGGGCCGCAGGTGGATTTCTTACCAACGAGACAAAGGACAATGTTTTGAAAGCAATACCACAGCTCGCGGTTCGAGAGGAAAATACAATGGTTGCACGAGTGATACTTAACAATATGTCTCAGGACCAAGATGAACCCGTACCTGCATTTTGCGCCAGACTTCGTGGTAAAGCTTGCATGTGTAAATTTATATTAAAATGTGGAAATTGTGATCATGATGTCAACTTAACTGATGCTATCCTACGCGACGCAGTCTCATCCAGGGTCTCTATGACCAAGAGATCCAACTTGACCTACTAGGTGCTGAGAATCAAGACATGACACAGGATGACGTTCAAAACCAACCTGACATTGAAGACGTAACATACGTCAGGCAATATGACAATGATAGTATATTAGCACTCCTAGATTACGAATCTGCCTATGTGCAATTGCTTGAGGACAATTTGTGTTTGGAAAATGACAACAGTTGTACCATCGCAGAACAGACAAATTCAACTTGTGATGATATGGACTGGACAGTGTTGCGTCATTGATTAATTATGAAAATATGTACGCAAGTTTGGCTGAATCATTTTACAAAGGGCATACACAAATCGAAAAGGAGAGTGATGCAATACCACAAATTGAAACAGAGGAAGACGAAATGGACAATATTCCTTTGGCTGAATGGATTCAGAGGATTTCCACCGACAGACAGATTGGCCCACATAAGCAAAACAACATGCCCCCTCTTCTTCCAAGCGGGGGCATAACAAATCACAATGTTAAATTAAAAGATTAGGAGGGGAGAACAACACATCAAAAATCACAATGTTGATTAATTATACATAGAATTTAAAATCAATCACAACTTACTTCTTATATTTATTTGCAGAAACAGTAAGAGACAGCCAAAGAAGTATTCAATCACCATCATGAAACCCAGAAAGATCTAGAAGTGGTAGATTGGAACAGATTGTAGCTCATACTGATAAAGTACATTTGCTCTTTATTGGTATATATTGGACTTTCTGTCTGAAAGTACCCGTAGACAGAAATACAGTATGGTAGCCTTCAATTTTGGAAGACAAAATAAGCATTTTGTTGTGGCATAAAATTGTAGGTGGCCTGCAATAGGATGGTGTCACTTTAAAAATTTTCATTCATTTATTTTCCAAGTATATAATAATTATTGAGGCCTAGGTGATTTTCTCCCTTTCCTTATGGCTCAATGAAATTTATTATGAATACCTGTATTCTTTGAGATAACCAATTTAGGATGACTTGAGGCATTCAGATTGCCTTATATTAACATTGGAATGTATATACATGTATATATAATGATTATAGTATATATGGAGATATAACATGTACCAGGAAAAATGGAAAGTATTTATGGAAATATATATATTAACTTTAGGAATAAAATTCGGCTTATTGCCTATTTATTTCTACATATTTTCTTTTGAAAATTGGGTTTTGTTCTGTGATGATTATTGTGGTTGGGTATAAATACCAGTCACCTGCAGCCAAGTGTATAAACGATGGTTAAAATATACCGTGGTAAGTTAATTACCATGGTATATATCGTGATAAGGTGACTGCACGATTTTTCAAATTGTAACAACAAATTAACCATGTGGTTACCTAACCAGGCAAAACCGAAAGTTTAACTGTGGCAATTTTACCTATAATGCACCCTGACGTTACATAATTTTCCCAGATGAATGTCAGGCGGTAATATTTACAAACAAATATGGCGTCAGGCACAAAAGTGAACAGAGCTAAAATGTTCAATCTCCATGAAACGGAGGTAATTACAGAGTTTATGAAGATTAATTTACCAACATTGAAAGCAAGTCATGCACAGGGAGGGCCTGGAGCTGCTCAAAAGGTATCCAAGGTCTGGGAGAGGCGCTCTTCATTGTTTTTGTCTTGCTTCCCGATGTCAGGGTAATGAAAGACTAGAGAAAAACAGTAAGAACTAAATTGTTTTTCCGTAGGTTCTTTTCGGTATTTTTTCCGTAGGTACTTTTCGGTAAATTAATTGCGCAATTAGATTAGAATCAGTCTATTTTATGATAATTAGGTCACGTGACGTCAATATCCCGCAATTTCTCGGAGTTGCAGCAGCTGGCAGTCAAGATGGTAAGAGGTTTTTTAGGAAATATGCATCAAGGCTGCCATATTTTTAGTCCATTTAGCGGCATGCAATGCACGGCTATGGCTCTGATTGCACTACTGACATTTTTTAGCCGTGGACATTTAAATCGCCCCGAATTTTCGCCGCAAGAAGTTGATTCTATTTTGTTTCAAGGAAATCGATTTTATGGTGAATTGAGTGGAAACCTGGGTATGATTAGGTATCTTAGTCATGTTGATTTGCCAAGTACTGTGACATTTAATAACAGAAACTTTCGTTTGCAGTTTTTACATGATGTGTATTATGGGGTTATTGATAGAAATGTGAACACACTGGTGGGTCAGACAAGTTTTTTTGAAGCAATTGAACAAAGTAGTAGATTGACCCCCTATCATTTGTTGACAATAGATCAATTAACAGTAGCATTATATTTATCTCCAATGTCAAGTAGTTTTTATGTGTTTGACTCCCATGAACGTGATATTAGCGGTAGCTATTCAGATAATGGTGCCGCTGTTGTATTACGCTTTGAAACTTTAGATGAGCTTTTGTTGTTTTTGTTTACCCAATATTCAGGTGCGAGTTTTGATTTGACACCAGTTTTTATAGATATTCCAAATATTAATGAGAATTTGATTCCCCATGATTTCCAGAATAGTGAACCCTCTGCTGTTTCTAACAAGCAAAACAAGAGCTGTCAGAAGGACAGCGCGCTCGACTTTTTTAGTGCTTGCCTATAAAACAAAACTTTGACAGTTAAGGGCACACAAGACTTTAACTAGGAATTTCTAAGTACAAATCAAGAAACATTTTCACAGAGTTATCTTCTCTTGCTTACAGATAGGTCTCATGATGGCACATAAGAACTCCAACTTCCAAAGTAATATCTCAAATGGTTAGGTCAACAAGTGGACAAGAATGAAAATTTTAACTGAGTTTCTAAGTCAAAAAGGGCCATAATTCAAATAAAATCCTTAACAGAATTACCTTCTCCTGCCCATGTTTGGGACCATGATGGTAAACAAGTATTCCAACTTTCAATTTAATATCTCAACCAGTTCAGTCAAAAAGTTGACTGGTACAAAAAACTTAACCAAGATTCTAAGTCGATAAAAGGCCTTAATTTTTAAAACAAATCCCTGACAGAGTTACCTTCTCTTGCGTACAGATGGGGGTAATAATGTGAAATAGCATTAAAAGTTTCAAAGCAATATCTCAAAGGGTTAAGGCAATAAGTGGATTTTACCCATATTCAATGTATTTTCTAAGTCAAAAAGGGGCATAATTCTGTCAAAAACCTTGACAGAGTTATGTCCTCTTGTCTGTTGATGAAGGTCGTGATGGTAAACAAGTATGGTCAGTTTCAAAGCAATACCTCCAATGGTTTTGAAATAAAGTGAGGTGGTACAAAAAACTTAACCAAGCTCAATACACTTTCTAAGTCAAAAAAGGGCCATAATTCTGTCAAAAACCTTGACAGAGTTATGTACTCTTGTCTGTAGATGGAGGTTATGATGGTGAACAAGTATGGTAAGTTTCAAAGCCATACTTGTAATACTTCTGAAATAAAGTGGGGTGGTACGAAAAACTTAACCAAGGTGTGACGCCAACGCCGACGCCGACGCCAACGCCGACGCCGACGCCGACGCCGGGGCGAGTAGGATAGCTCCCCTTTTCATAGAAAAGTCGAGCTAAAAATGAACAATCTGTGGGGATGAAAACAGTCAATCAAGATGCCAGAAAGAATACAGATCCTATTTACACAAATAGGTCTGCTCAGTTTGTTGGTTCGGATCATTCTTATGCAGGATGTAGTTCAAAAGTTTCAACATACAAAAAAGGAAAGTGTAGGAAAAAAATTCCAGTCCTTACAAAAGGTGTCCTGAATTGTTCAGTAACTAATGAATATGTAAATGTCACATTAGATCTTGATAGTATGTTAGATGTTGGCAGTGTTTGTGATGTGCAGTCAAATATGTTTTTGTTAGATTATTTGAAACAAACTGGACATATTAAAGCATATGAAGAGTTTATTCGTTTACAGCCAAATAAGCATTGCTCAGTGTGTCATCGATTCTTGTTCCCAAATCAAACCAAACAATTAAAGACAACCAATGACTGTTTAAATAGTTTAGGTGTTGATGCACCTTGTGATGTTTGTCAGACCTGTCATACAAATATTTGACATGGTGTAAAACCAGCTTTGTCTTACTTTAAGAATTTGTTGTTTCCAGGAAATATACCAGATTGCTTAAACAATTTGTCTAGTTTGGAAAAAAGGCTTATTGCAAAAATAAATATTTTCATGACAGTAGTAATGTTGCCTGGAGGTCAATACGCTGAAAGAGGTTTAGTTCTTAATCTGCCTTCAAACACTCTTGAAGTGATTACAAAGATGCCATTATCTTTTAAAAACTTGCCATTTTTTGTGGTTCATTTTGATTCTGACAAGAGCTGTGCAAGAGAAAATGATAAAAATGGTGTGTCAATGCAGAAAATACATAAAGCATTGCTTTGGTTAAAGGAGCATAATGCCTTGTATCGAAACTTGACTTTTGATGGAAACTTTACCACAGAAGAAAGTTGTACTTCACATTTAGAAAGTGAAAGACAAAGTACATTTAATTATGATTCTTTTGATGAAGATGTTCTTGTCTCTGTCAACCCATCAAATTTGTGTTTTCTTGAAAATGGTTTGCATATACCAAGAAACCCTCATAAACCAGTCAACATTTTTGATATAGAGAATGGTGAAGAGTTAGCATTTCCTTGGTTATTTCCTTTAGGATGTAATGGCTTTAAACAAAAGCGTTTGTTTAAAATCTTACCTAAAATGTACTTTAAAAGCAGGTTGTATGATTACAATTCTTTGTTTCACAAAAATATTACATATTTATTGCATACTGCTGTGTCATATGATCTGTCATGTTTGAAATCAGCTGTCAGCATAAAAATGAAAATCACACATGCAAACAATGGTCAAATGGAACCTGTTTCTGCAGGGTGTATTCAGAACATTCATGTGAATAATGATTTGTTGGAAAACTCTTACATGTTTATGAAGAAAATTAAGGGCACTGTTGCATACTTCAGAAACATGTTATATGACTTACTGTCTTCTTTTAGATGTTAAGGCCCACCCACATTGTTCATGACACTATCAGCCGATGATAATCATTGGCCAGAACTTGGCATGACTTTGGAAAACTTGGAGTTCAAATCTGCATTTGGTAGATCTTTCTTTGACAGTTTACGAAAAGATCCTTTGTTAGCAGCTATACATTTTGAACGGCGTTTTCGATCTCTAATGAAGAATGTTATTTTAAGTGAATCTCAACCTTTGGGTAAAGTAATTGATTATTTTGCTAGGGTGGAATTTCAGAATAGAGGAAGCCCGCATATTCACATGTTTCTGTGGGTTGCAGATGTTCCGAAAGAAATTGACAATGCTACAGCTGCTACTGCCTTGAAATACATTAATAGCACAATATGTTCTAACATTCCTAATGAAACTGTTGACCCTGAACTTCATGCTCTTGTAAATAGACTTCAAATTCATCATCATACCTCTTACTGTTGTAAAAAAAGGTCATGTCGGTTTGGTTTCCCTAGACAAGTATCAACAAATACCAAACTCCTGCGAAACATGCAAGTACAAGCAAAAAACAAAGGTAGGTTTTATATAACAGCTCGGAACTTCAATAGTAGGTTTGTAAATGATTACAATGGTGTTATTTTGCGTCACTGGCGAGCAAATATGGATTTGCAATATATACAGAATGCAGAAGGAGCAGCTTACTATGTTTGTTCGTATATATGCAAATCCGAGCCTGATGATCTAAAAAATGCTCTTGGTGATTTGATTTGCAATGTTTTGAATGCAAATATGTCTATGCCAAGAAATGTTCGTCTAATGAAAATTGGACTATGTGTTTTGAAACACAGAAGAATGAGTTCACAAGAGGCTGCCTTTCGAATGGGTTCATTACAGCTTTTGCATGCATCTAGAGAATTTATGTACCTTAATACATGGCCACCAAATAAAAGGTTGAAAATTCTACGAACTGCTTCAGAATTGGCTGACTTGCCTGATAATGACACAAATGTGTTTCAAAATAACATTTTAGACTATTACCGAGATCGACCATTGGCTTTAAATGAGCACAGCTTGTTAAACTTTGCTTCATGGTTCAGAAAGGTAAGTAAACCTCAGAAGGTTCAAGGCCAAATTTGTTGTCCAACATATGATGTTTGGTTTCAGAAAAGGAAAAAATTTTGTGTTGTCAGATATACCAAATTTCCATTTGGCTCTGAGGATTATTATTACAGCATGCTTTTGTTACTATTTCCTCATAGATCAGAGGCCGATTTGCTTGGTAATTGTGAGTCTGCGCGCATTTCTTTTGAACAGAAACAAATACAGTTTGATAAGAGTATTAATTATCAGTATTTTACACTTGCATCTGAGATTGAAAATGCAGTAAGGCGTATTCGCCTTTGTGAGCAAGAACTTGCTCCTGCAGATGAAGACTTGTTACTAGAAACTGTTACAGACAATGATGATGTACCTGTTACTTCAATTCAGTTGGAAAATCCTTCAGAACATACAGATGATGTTCCTACATACAGTGATTTTGTTCAAGACAGTAGTATTATTAGTGAATTACATACATTAGAGTGTTGTGATATGTCTGTTGATGAATATTACAGAAAATGTTGTACACTTTCAAAGAGTCAGAATAATGCCTTGACACAAATTAAATGTAGGCTTGGCACAAATGATTCTTCGCAACCTTTTCATTTTTTCATTTCCGGTGGTGCTGGAACTGGTAAATCTTTCCTTCTGCAATTGATTGTTGCACACTTACAGCATTTTGCAAAAACTTCTAGCAAAATTGCAAAGACAATTTCAATGTGTTTCAACAATTATTGTTGATGAAATTAGTATGGTAAGTTCTTCTATGTTGACTTACATAAGTAGGAGGCTTTCAGAAATTAAAGATGATGAAAGGGCATTTGGTGGGTTAAATGTAATAGTTTTTGGTGATTTCTTCCAGTTGAGACCAGTTTCAGGGCGATTTGCATTTAAAAATATTTTACTCTGGCATTTGTTTACACCAATCTTTTTAGAACAAAACATGAGGCAGGTGAATGATGCATGTTATGCTTCTTTATTAAATAGAGCTAGAGTAGGTTTCCTTACTAAAACAGATGTTGCATTATTGGTCAATAGATTAAACTTTGACTCCAGTGAAATTAATAATATTATGCATTTATTTGCATTACGAGCTGATGTTGCAGCATTCAATTCTGCTCGGCTTGCTATGTTAGACTGCGAAAAAGTTTCTTTGCCTGCTTACCATTATTTTGGTCATAATGATAAAGATGCGGGTTCAGATGTTCCAAGCAGTTGTGTTCATTTGAATGAACGTGATGCTGGTGGATTGTCAGTTGAACTAAATTTATGTGTTGGTGGTAGAGTAATGCTTATAAGAAATATACATACTAATCATGGATTAGTCAATGGTGCTATTGGAAATATTCATTCTTTCTCATATACAAGCTCTGGTATTATTGAATCTGTGAATGTGATGTTTGATGACCCTTCAGTTGGACAAGTGTTAAAAACAAGTGGTTGTGATTTCATTAGTATTGATCGAGTTGAGTATTCCTTAATCATGGATGGAAGGCATGTTGTAAGGTCTCAGTTTCCATTAATGTTATCATGGGCTTGTACAATACATAAAGTGCAAGGTTTGTCTTTAAATAAAGTTGTCATTGATTTAGGAGAATCTGTGTTTGAACGTGGGATGAGTTATGTTGCTTTGAGTCGAGTTACATCTTTGTCTGGATTGTATTTACTAAAATTTTCTCCACATGCTGTTCAGCCTCCAGCTGGTGTTTTGGAAGAGTATGAAAGGCTAAGAAATCTTCATTGATCAATAAAGATTGATTCTCTAATTTGCAATTGGACTTGATATTAAAGAAAAAACTTAAACTTTTTATCTGTGTTATTACAATAATAGTGTGTTCAATTTTATTACTCCTAGAATTTGAACAGCTTTATGACAAATAGTTTCCTATAAACAACTTGTTATATAAAATAAATTCTCAACACATGTATCAGAGTTTTTTCTCAAGTTTGGGAATGGTGTTGGTACTAGACTAATTGGGAAAAAATGCGTTATTTTGATTTAAATTGGCAAAGAAAAATTTATGCATTTTTCAGCTACAAATAAAATTAGTTATCATCAATAAAGATATCTAACAGCTTCCATTGTCCAAGTAGAACTATTGAGTGGTGATTTATATGAATATGCTGAATTTAAATGATTTCAGAGAAGTCACTTGGCCTTGTGGGAATTTTGATCAGCCATTTTGGGAATTAAAACAAAGAAGTTGGGAATTTTCAGGTCTATTTTCTATTGGGAACAGTACTGTTTTAGGGTAGTAGTTATATACTGAAAAAAACACTGTATATATCATCATTAATTTTTATCACTCAAAAATGTTCATAATCTGACATGCAGTTTTGGGCCAGTATATTACCTCACAATTAAAGTCCTACAATGTAAATTTTCATAACTGAATATAATATTATTTTCTATTTCCCTGATTGTTTTTTTTAAAAAGAATGGTACTGGTCATTTACAGTCACTATATCTGCTTTTTTTTATAAAAAAGTATTTTCTATTCAGTTAGTTTTTTGTTTTATTCAAATATGTTAAAAACTTTCATGTTTTTCATTTTATAAAAAAGGTGTTCTAACATCTCACAATAGAAGATTTAAATACTTTTGATTTAATATGGAAATGTGCATCATTGTTAATTTGTAGCTGCTAAAATTAAATAAGATGACACTTCAATTTTACCATTATCGATTGCCTTGATTGTTCAGTAAAAAAAAAACAACATCAAAAACAAGAAAAACAACACCATTTTTTAATAATTTACAATTTTAGAAAAATAGTGGGGCATTTTTACTTGTAATAACATATTAAAAGATGTACTTCAGTTTTCTTAATACAAAAAAAAACTTATAATGTTACAACAGCTAGTATGTCAAATCTAAAATATTGAACTTTACATTTTTAGGCATTTCATTTTCATTACCTTAAAATGTAAACAAAAAATAATTATACACAAAAAACTTATTCACATCCTTGATGCATTTTCCTGAATTTCCTTTACCAGTCTGATGAAAAGTGCACTGTGACCGGGAAAGTCCTAAAAAAGTCAAAAAACTTCCTGACGTATGAGGGCAAAAATGGTAAAATGACTTACTTTAACATGGTTACTGGAAATGCTGATAATATCACAATTATAAGATGCTACTTAAGGCACAAGTTCAACATGATCAGGGAAGGCTTGTCCTACAAGTGAGTATAAACTTCCAATTTTCAGTTGGTTTTATTTATTTACAGAAAGAACACAGTGTTGTTACTGTAGAACTGCTTTTTCCAGGCAATTGTTTTATTTCTCTAATATTTACAAATTGGCGACTTGCGAACTTGATACATGTTTTAAACAAAAAATGGCTTATTATATTTTCCACTAGTATTCCTACTTAATACATCATAAAATTATTAACTGTTTTTTTTTCTTTATTTAGGTTTTCCAATGTTATCCAAAAACCAGATGCATGTTGGGTTGTACAGACCAGCTCAGTAACAATAGTTCCACCTGTAAATTGTGCCATTCAAACAATTCCTCCTTTACCAGAAGATGTGCCTGCAACTGGTCAAAAAAGAAGTATTTCAGAGGCATTGACATCTCCAGAAAAAAGCACAATTTGTGCTATTGTTGTGCAGCAGAAAAATGATAAAATTCTTTTAAAAAATAAATGAATAAATATGCATGATGATTTTCTTTTAAGCACAAAGATTTATAAATATAATCATTTTCTAAAAGGTCAAATTTTCAGAACAATGTGTGAAATTTCAAATATGTTAAGTTACAAATATTATATGTTTTAACAATAGATGTCAAATTAATAATTATGTAACCGGAAGATTAAATATGGCTATTCCTCTTTGTCCAATCAACTGTGCTAAACGTTTTATTATATTTAGGTGATAATGTCAATTTAGCCGTCTGTACTTAATAAGTTGTTAAACCTTATTACTGATAAAATGTCCAGGTGATGATTGTTGTTATAAATTCTATGTTGCTATGTTACCTTTATATGTAGTGAAACCTGATTGGTCATTTTGTTATTTAAGACACAAAAATGTTAAAATTCTATTGGTCAGTTTAAAACAAAATCCTATTTAGAAATATTGTAAAGATACATGTAGAAAAATTGAGATAGTTAGATTTTGGATTTCCAAGTGATAACGTTGTGGCTCTCCACTAGAAATATTTGTTACTGTTTTTTAATATCTATTTGTTAACATAAGGATAACCTGTGTATATGTTATATATTATTTGTGGTATTCCACTAAGAAAGATTAACATTAAAATATATAAAACGGAACATTGTGTTGAGATTCAATCCACCTTCAGTAGAACTATAAATTCAGCGCATAATACTATGATTGCAAAAGTATGTGTGATTTCATTTTCTCAGTAGACTTTCAGGAAATTTCCTGATAAAAATGTTTGCAGGTTTACTTACTTACCAGAAGTTTCAAAAACTATAAACAAACCATTGTTATGCGCTTGATATCTTTAAAAAAACAATCTTTCTTATTGAATACCATCTTGATTTAAAAACTCTAAACACAAAATTAGAGAGCATACAATTAGAGATATGTGTGAGTGTGTTTACTAACTAGCTAAAAGTTCTATTTATTTTCACTTTTTATTGCTGCAATGGACATTTTCATTCCAGTGAGACTACATGCTGTACATTTGTCATTGTGACAACATAATAAGTTCTTTTCCAGGTTTCAGATGTAACACTTAAAAGAGATGGAACTCTACCAGTCAGGTGTCTTGGCTTAATCGATCACTCAGGCCGAACAAAAGTAGCTTTGTTCTCTCAACAAGCACAACAACAATTTGTTGAAAACACAGTTGTCGAGATTAGTGGTGTGTACAAAAAAACATGGCAAGGTGAAGACCAACTAGTTACTTCTACTGTAACAAAATGCCAGGTACATAAATATGATTTATATCTAGTTGTTTCAAATTCATGAATATTTTCATAAAATAAGCCTTGCGATGTTTCAGTTTATTGGTTTGATTTTTTTTCTCTTAAACATAACTTGAAAATTATTCAAGGTATAGTCTAAACTTCAAATGAATAGAATTGTTATATTAATTTGTCTACCAAAATTTTTTTTAAACAAGTTCAACCAGTTATAATTCTATGTTATAAATATACATGTAAACTTAAATGTAAACATTAAAATCTATGCATTTAATTCTTATTGACAAAATTTGCTTAAAATTAATAAAAATAAACTTGTAATTATGTCCCTTCATAAGCATGAAATGTACATTCAGTAATATTTATCAATACAATGGAAATTCATTCGCATGAACTCAGAGGGCCAGTGCAGTTCGGTAGTTCAAACCAATCTAGGGTTGAACTATTATTACGTAGGATAGGCCTACAGGTGTCAGATAAATATGTCAATATAAATGTTTGTTAGTACATCTGTTCTTCAAATACATCATTTCATTTCTTTAAATATTTAAAATTATTACCCTTGTGTTTTCAAATGAATATCAATAATACACTGTTTATATATTCATGCATATTGTAATTAGTTGAGTTTTATTGGGCAATCATTATCCAAAATTGTTACCATTCCTGTATACATATATTCAGTCTGTCTTCAACATAAGTATGTATTGCTTCATACAAAAACTACTTACAAACTCTATTTTGCAGTTTGTTAGTGATGATGCAGTCAAAAGTAACGTAACGGAAGAAGATGTGAAGTATTTTGAAGGTCTCACTGATTTTGGTGGCAGTGGTCACCAACAAGGAGATACCAAATTTACTGTCTCGGGAATAGAAGATGCATCTATTTATCATGGATGTGATTATGATGGTAATTAAATATTTTCTGTTCAACATCATACCATTGATGGATATTCCTTTAAAATGTATATGATTTTTATGTCCAATATTTGTTCATTTTTTCATATTTGTATATTACTTCAAGACTCATGATTTAGGTCAGGACCTTCAGGTATATCAAACTAAATTGACCTTTATTCATGTATGACCTTGACATTGAAGTCAGATTATTTCATTTTCACTGATTATCACTAATATTTTGTATTCAAAAATAATGGTTTATTTTCATAATAAATCATAATTAAAAAGTCAAGTGTTGCCCTCATCCTGCTATGGGTTTTGTTTATATGTTCCTCTTATCAGTTAAAATTTGAGAATTTTCCTTACATTTATTACACTCTATTTGTCATAGGTTGTCACAAGAAGAAAATGGCAGACGGTGTCTGTCCCACATGCAGTGGTACCACCAGTTTACTAACATACAGAGTAAAATTGGAGCTCATGAAAGAAGATGGGCAAATCTTATATGGAGTAGTGTTTGAGAAAGACATTGTCAATCTCTTTGGTCAAATAGATGTAGCTGAAGACACAACACATGTTGATCTCATGTCCACTCTAGTATACAGACTACCTTGTCAGGTGAAGGGCAACATCTTGAATGGGAAAGCTATCAACCTCAGGAAAATAGTTGAATAGAACACTGTAAACCATACTTATTGCTAACAATACATTTTCAGTGTCAGTTGAATTTCAGAACAAATTATACTTTTTCCTTTATCTAAAGTAATCTAAAATTGAAGTTCAAATGTTTAATGATCATTGTTTATTCATATAAATTTGCTTATTTTTGAGAAATCTTACATAAATAGGCTAAAAAATTACTGCTAAAACTCAGCTGAGATTATAACTATTATGACATGGATCCTTTGTCTTTTTAACACAATTTTGAAGATTTGTAATGTCATTTTTCTAAACATAAAACCAAATTTTATATTGAACATTCTATATTGTGTATTAATTCATTACAATGCTCATTACAATGCTTTATTTCATAATATATTCTACATACCAGTTTTCTTATTATTGCACCATGTAATATTTTACTTCACAATTGTTTGAACATACAAACATGTTAACTTACATCTATATGCCAAGCAAGCATTAATGTTTTCAGTGCCATGCATATAAAATATGACTTCATTTTAAAGAAAATTATTACAATAATTTCCTGTAAGAAATGCCTTTTAAGAACATTTTTCAAACTCATATAGTCCCATCTATCTAACTTCACTGCAATGTTCCTTTGGTAGACAACTTTAAAGATTGTTCAAAGAATTTAATTCCAAGCAGAACTATGGTTGCCATGGCAACCTAAAGAACAAACTAAAATATCTTCTTTTAGAAAATCATAACAGCTAGAGCTTAACTATTTGGCACCAAACATTAACTAGTCAGTGTCTTTTAAGTTTGTTCAAATAAATGTCCTGGGGTCAAAATTGGCCACGCCCCGGGGGGTCATTGATTTTCCATATTTTTTATATAGTAAAAACTTGAAAAATCTTCTTTTAAAAAACCCAAATAGCTATGGCTTAGCTATTAAGCGAGAAACATCTTCTAATGGTTGTCTACCAAGTTTGTTCAAATAAAAGCCCTGATGTCAAAATTGGCTCAGCCTTAGGGGGTCATTGTTTTTCCCTTTATTTACATATTAAAAACTTAAAAAAATCTTCTTTTAAGAAACCTTTAGAGCTATAGATATTTAGCATGAAAAATCAAAATCTCTGATGGGTGTCTACCATTTTTGTTGAATTAAGAACCCTGGGGTTAAAATTGGCCATGTTGCAGAAATTATTGATTTTCTTTATTTGTATATACCGTAGTAAAAACTTAAAAAAAATTCTGTGAAAAAACCCAAAGAGCTAGAGTTTATATATTAAGCATGAATTATCTTCTACAGAGTGTCTACCAAGTTTGTTCAAATAAAAGCCTTGGGGACAAAATTGGCCTCGCCCAGAGAACGGCTATTTTTTTCCCTATATGTGTATAGGAACCGTGACATATATTAAAAACATGAAGCTTTTCTTTGAGCTAAAACTTATATATTTATCATGAAACATCTTCAAATGGGTGTCTACCAAGTTTGTTCAAATAAAAGCCCCTGGGTTGACATTGGCCCCACCCTAGGGACATATTTACAGGTGACAATTTCAGGACCATCATGGCCCTCTTGTTTACTTTGCTGTCTACTCTATAGTCATATGATTGTTCAATAGACCAATTATCATTCACCATGTCTCTCATAGTACAATTTTCTCAGTAGACTAAGTACATTAAATAAATTGTCATAGAACAAAAACTATCAAATTTATTCACCTACAGAAGTTTTATTTCTTCTTAATTTTTTATGGTCCCATAACTGTGAGCATATAATTTGCCAATTCCTCTGTCTTTGCATTCAGATGGACATCATTTAGTAGAAATGCAGTGTATAAGAACTGTTACTCTACCTCACCTAATTTTGGAGGTATTGCTCCTTTTAAATTTTTTCACTTTGAACTTTGTTCTGGACATAACTTAACTTTGTTCTGTACATAACTTTTAAATTACAAGAGATATCACCAAAAAACTTTGTAAATAGAGTAGAATTATAGTGGATAGCTCTAGTTTGCATATTTTAAGGTAATTGCCCTTTATCATTTTTTATACTTTATAACTCTGAAACTACATTTTTTTATTTCTTCCTTCGTTTGATATTTAAACAATTTAAACCTTTTCCAATAACTATTCATGACATGATATATTTATGCTGAATTTGGTAAACACTTTATGGACTAATAGAATCTATCATTGGGTTAAATAGAGGATAGGGAAATCCCAACCCGAGGGTGATCAGTTCCATCGGGAACGAGCCTTGGCGAGTTCCCGATGGAACCGATTGCCCGAGGGTTGGGATTTCCCTATCCTCTATCTAACCCAATGGTTGATTATTTTTCTCACTCACCTGAACACACAAATATCAGTGAATCTACTTGCTACGCCCATTACAACGTACCTAGTTTGAAAAGGGGGCGGGGCTTAGGCGCCTGACTTTCTATGATTAAAAAGCATTATGTACGTCCGCAAAAAAATCTTCTGACCAAGTTTATGTGTGAAAAATTTAATGAAAATAAATTCATATGAGACCCCTCATGAAAAAGCAAGGTTATCATGATGAAACACATCGATATTAAAAACGGAAAGTGCCATAATATAAGTGTTTATAAGTAATTCAGTCCATACTTCAATGGTTGACAAAAAAGCGTTTACCGTTTGCAAAGATTTTTCTACTTTTTCGGTTATTTTGGCCGAATATTTAATTAAAATATATCAAAATGAGATTCGTCATAAAAAAGCATCGTTATCATAACAAAAAACATGAATGTTTTTCAGGCAAAGTGTCATAATATCCGATTTTACGAAGAACGTTTCGATATTTTAAAGTGTGCTATTTTTAGTAACAGATCGTTATTGGAAAGGGCGGATCTAGGTAGAGTAGGACTCATTGCAGTGTGAAAGTTAATATCAATCTATTTTGATTCCGTAGACAATTTAATAGATTAGCTTACACATTTTTAATACATTTTGACCTTTTGACGTTTAATTTTTGTTAAAATAGGAGTGAATCGCGTATTATTTAGAACTGCTGCACGTTGAGTGTGAGATAAGCCCATGTGAGATAAGATTTTCCAACACCGCTATTTTTAGTAACATTTAAGGATTTTTCTATCTGGTTAGTGAGAAAGAATACTTCTCTATATCCAAAACCTCTTCTCGTAACATCGCCCGACTCAATCAACTCTTGTTGTAACAGAGTTGCAATATATTTCATAATTTCCGTCCCACTTTTATAGCTTCTTTTCTTGAACAAATGCCATGTATTTCGTAACTGTTATTGTTTACTGGGTCACATAATAATAATTGACATTTCCCTAATATTTGTCTAAAAATTATTGTAACTGTCTTCCATTGTATTTTTCAATGTTCATCCGTATCAACATGTTACACAAGTTCATTCATGTATCATTCATTATATTTGTTAAAATGTATCACAAAAAAAACTCAACTTGATCACTCCGAAAAACATCACAAATGTTCATTCCATTGTGTGTTCAACTTACAGTATTAACAGAGATCTTTTTTTTTAAATTTTACATGAAAATAAATGCATGTTATATTACTTACTTTTTTATATACTGTTTCAATTTTTGTTACATTTATAATAAAACAGATTTCGTTAATTTTGACTACTGTTCTGAATATTCCTAAGAAAATGTATTTCATATTTCACCCCTACCAAACTTGCGAAAGTTCAGTATGAACAACTAGAGTTACATTTGCTTGACAATAACCAAACCTGCGAAAGTTTAGTTATTTCTTTTAAGAAAGTCTTGTTAACAGTCGTATCGTCATTGCCACCTGCATATTTTTGCCTTTTAAGTTGTCATAATATTGTGTTTATACTTGGCCACAATAACCTTTGAAACGTTACCTTTAAGTATATCTGACTAACAAGATCTGCCATCCTAGTTTATTATCGGTTGGTACATTACTTACTTTTAAACATCCTTTTGGACGCCCTTTGATGCTTCGCATCAATGCTTTTTCTTGTTAATATTTTGTAAAGAAAGGGAAAAAGGTGGAGGCATGATACACTGGTGAAATAACGACATTATGAATGTGTTGAAAAAGAATGCAAAAACTTTATAAAAACATATTACAGTACTTTGTCAATTTATTTTTATTTTATCTCACCATTTACATTGCTGTTTAGGTGTATAATGGTACCTTAGCTTAAAACACAAGCTGCGGCTGTTGGAACCCCTTCAGGTTTAAGCTGTTGTTCCCTTGAGATGATTGTTTAGTACTGGCTACTTTGAGCAACAGAATGGAAAGTTTTTCTTTAAGCTGAAAGCTTCAACTTAATTGAACTAGAGTAACTTTGTATAAACTAAAATTACTTTATAACACATCTTTGGTAAACTTATCTTTGAATGACATATGACCCCAAGCATTATTTTCAATATAAATAATATTATTTATTTTTGCACAAGAAGCCTTGTTGGTATTGATGGTACCTGAGTTGCGGGTCTTGCATATCACGTGACTTTAATATTAGGATACAATCGGAGACAGGTATATAAATTTGTGTATGCAACGGTATCTGCATTGTCCTAATGCTACTTACTTAACAAGAACCGGTTGAACCGGGTGATGCTCCCCGAGAAGGTTCTGGACACAGGAAAGTATAAAAAAAATGAACAAAGGGCAATAACTCCAAAATTACACCAGGCTTTGTTTAGGTTCTTGAAGCGTTGCAGTTCTATCCAATTATATCTAGCTACCTACAAAGTTTCATGTTGATATCTCTAATAGTTTTAAAGTAATGTCCAGGACAAAAGTCAAAAAGTAAAAATAAACAAAGGGCAATTACTTCAAAATAAGGCAAGGCAGAGTAATGATTCTTAAGCACTGCACTTCCACCCAATGAGACCTATCTATCTACAAAGTTTCATGTTGATATCTCTTATAATTTTAGAATAATGTCCCAGACAAAGTTCAAAGTGTCAAAATGAACAAAGGGCAATAACTACAAAAGAAGGCAAGACAGTGTTACAGTTCTTGTGCACTGCAAACTTACTCAATGAGATCTATCTACCTACAAAGTTTCATGTTGATATCTCTTATACATTAAGAAATATGTCCCGGACAAAGTTCAAAGTGTAAAAAATAAACAAAGGGGGATAATTCAAAAATTAGGCAAGGCAGAGTTAAGGTTCTTGTTCACTGCACACCTACTCAATGAGATCTATATACCTACAAAGTTTCATGTTGATACCTCTTATACTTTTAGAGTTATGTCCCGGACAAAGTTCAAAGTGTAAAATAAACAAAGGGGGATAATTCAAAAATTAGACAAGGCAGAGTTACGGTTCTTGTGCACTGCATACCTACTCAATGAGAACTATCTACCTACAAAGTTTCATGTTGATACCTCTTATACTTTTAGAGTTATGTCCCGGACAAATTTCAAAGTGTAAAATAAACAAAGGGGGATAATTCAAAAATTAGGCAAGGCAGAGTTACAGTTCTTGTGCACTGCACACCTACTCAATGAGATCTATCTACCTACAAAGTTTCATGTTGATACCTCTTATACTTTTAGAGTTATGTCCTGGACAAAGTTCAAAGTGTAAAATAAACAAAGGGGGATAATTCACAAATTAGGCAAGGCAAAGTTACGGTTCTTGTGCACTGCACTTCTACTCAATGAGATCTATCTACCTACAAAGTTTCATGTTGATACCTCTTATACTTTTAGAATTATGTCCCGGACAAAGTTCAAAGTGTAAAATAAACAAAGGGGGGTAATTCAAAAATTAGGCAAGGCAGAGTTACGGTTCTTGTGCACTGCACGCCTACTCAATGAGATCTATCTACCTACAAAGTTTCATGTTGATACCTCTTATTCTTTTAGAGTTATGTCCCGGACAAAGTTCAAAGTGTAAAATAAACAAAGGGGGATAATTCAAAAATTAGGCAAGGCAGAGTTACGGTTCTTGTGCACTGCACTTCTACTCAATGAGATCTATCTACCTACAAAGTTTCATGTTGATACCTCTTATACTTTTAGAGTTATGTCCCGGACAAAGTTCAAAGTGTAAAAATAAACAAAGGGGAATAATTCAAAAATTAGGCAAGGCAGAGTTACGGTTCTTGTGCACTGCACACCTACTCAATGAGATCTATCTACCTACAAAGTTTCATGTTGATACCTCTTGTTGTTTCAAAGTTATGTCCCGGACAAGAAAAGGGGACGGACGGACGGACGGACGGACGGAAAGACGGACGGACGGACGGATGGACGGACGGACGGACAAGGCGGCGACTATATGCTCCCCCGAAATTTTTTCGGGGAGCATAATTAAATCAGGTTACATCCATGTGTTCAAAGTTTAATCATGCCGGGTCGTGGCAGAGAACAAAAAGAAAGGTGGTTAGCCAACGTACACACGAACAGGGGGATCAAAATTTGTTTGCTACAGCCAGATCCATGTAACTTTACGAGATCCGGTTCTAGAATTATTGATTTCGATGAAATAATTACATCATCTTGTATTTTACTAGTAAATGAGTCATTAGGGTGTGGTGGAAATTTGAGCACGATGTCAAGTGCTAATGCTGATAATTTGGCTAATGCCAATAATTCGGCTTACGGCCAGGGCATCAATAAATGTTTCTACAAGTTATCATGGTAACACATTGACTGAAATGTGATGTTATTGCCATTGTACAGCAAACCACGATTATGTAAATGACTTGATACCTCGCCAAGTTGGTCAAAGTATCAAAGGTGTAATAAATCATTCTAATTCAAATTTAGAATATATGCAGTTGTCGAATGATGATATTATGGCACATGTGCCTTCAGTGGTTAAACAACAAATAGCTAAGGGAGAATATATTAATCTTGCTATTTCGTCTCCCACATAACTCCCCTATGGGGCCCCATAGAGAGATGACAGGCATCGACCATAGCATATCATAATGAGGCTAAGACTTAGTCTTATCAGTCACAAAATTTACAATCTCAAGAAAAGTGTTATTTTTAAGTATTTAAGGAGTTTAAAATTGTTATAAAATTCAGGAGTGTTGAGGAATACTTTTATTTCAGTATCAACAATGATTCTTGGGTAGTCCGTTTATTTAATCATAATGAATACACGTATTGACAGTGGACCTCAGTGCACATGTGCGACGGAAGAAGTCGCGCAAGAGTTGTCGTTCTTGATTTGTGAATAAAATTTCACTGAAAACATACACGAAACATAGAATATTCTATATGGCGTTGACATGTGCTGTTCAGAATTGCTCAAATGGGGGCTATTGGCTAAAGAAATGGAGAAAGCAATTATGCAGCGTTCATGGGAGTATTCATGGGGAAAGATTTTGCAAATGTTCAGAACCTTTCAGGTAAAAACATAAAAAATAGCGGTGGGTGGGGAAATAATGTTACTTATGTGTACACATATAGAAGGAGTATAAAATCTTGATTATAATCATATATAAATGTTAAATCATTTTTGAAGCTTTAGTTTTTAAACATACTTTTTCTTGAAATACATGTCATTGGCAATGGCAAGAAATTTTACTGAAGCAAAGTAAATATGTCAAACGGTTGTGCACTAATTTTGATGGGATTATAAAATAACGCAGCGTAGTTTAGGTGGAAACTTGTTATTTTATTCATGTGAACTTTATTTAATTATGGACAGTTAATTGTTATGGATAATTTTACTTTATATTTCAGGCTGTTCACATTTCCATCAAAAAAGAGTCGACCAGCTGTGAGAGAAAAGTGGAAGCAACTGGTTGGACGGTCAAATGGTGCAAAATTGTGGTCACCACCAAAAGATAGTCGTATTTGTTCAAGACATTTTGTTGAGGGGGAACCAACACTACAAAATCCTTTACCAACTCTTGAAATGGGTTATGAGGGTGCTAACCAAGGAGGGAAAAGAATGTCCAACTTTGAAGCAACAAGACCTGTGTTTACCAAAAAAAGAAAAATTGATAAGTACAACATGAGTGATGAATACTTTGAACAGTATGTAGCAACACCCTTGTTCGAGGATCCACCAGAAGAATATCTGCCAAAAGTTAATGCTGGGATACCTTGGTTTGTGCCTTTGTTGTTACTTCTTATAGGCCTGTTTAAGCAGTTAAAACAGAAAAATAAGACAGAAAAACTGACACAAGATGTTTAGAGTTTGAAGGATAAGGTCAATAGGTTAAACTTACAGACTGTGTACAGTGAACAAGTGATGATGTAAAATTCCACACTGGATTAACTAATATTAGTTTATTCAATATATACATGATTAGATTGCTCCACTTGTTGTTCGAAGGTGGACTGGTGCCGTGGCTGCCCTAAAACGTGTGCGCACTGTTGGGAATGTTGTTAAATTTGGTCCAAAGAGAAAAATGACATCTAAAAGCAAATTTTTTATTAATGTTTATGAAACTTTGGCTTGGTTTACTGAACAAAGATTTGGCCAAAAGGTTCGACATTTCAGAGTCACTTGTTTCCACAACATCTTTAGCATGGCTACGTGCATCTTATGCTATTTTGAAATCATAAGTATACAATGTCATGCCAAGTCCTGATGAGCTCATTGGATCTAAACCCGAACGGTTCAGAAAATTTAGTGACTTACATTCTATAATTGACTGTTACACTGAGATCTTCATTGAGACCCCAAAGGACTTGTACTTACAGAGTGCCACCTGGAGCGATTATAAACACCATAATACTTTGAAGTTACTGATAGCTTGTTCACCAAATAGTTTAATCCTTTATGCAAGTCCAGCATATTTAGGGAGGACATCAGATAAAGCTCTAACTATAGACTGTGGCTACCTGGATTTGGTTCCAATTAATTCTATGATCATGGCCAATAAAGGATTTAATATTTCTGAAGACTGTGCAAATAGGAATATAACCTTGTATGTACCCCCAAGAAGGAGAGGACATTCACAGATGTCAAGTGCCGGTGTAGAAAAGACCAAAAAGATAGCTAACCACAGGATGCTCATTGAACAAGTCATAAGGCGCTTAAAAAATTTCAGAATTTTGTCAAATGAACTGCCAATTTCACTGATTGATCGTGTTGATGAAATTGTTGGTGTATGTTCAGCTGTGTGTAATTTCAAGGAGCCAATTTACAAAGTATAACTGATAAAGCTATTTAAGCTCAAAGTGAGATGTTACATTGACAATATAAAATGCAAGAAATACTGTATGTGAAAATGACATTATTGAAGCATAGGGTCATTTTTATGTAATGTGTGTGTTGTTGTTTTGTACATGTATATATGCATATACAGTATATTTTAAATAATTGATTTTTCAATGAATAAGAAAGAATAAAATCATTACAGCAGGTATTTATTATCTTCCCTTTTTAAAATGAATACCGGTACTAGCCACTCAGCTTAAAGCCACATGCCTCCAAATTAGCAAAAATATTACTGGAAAACAAATATTTCTACAAGAGTCATCAATGTCGTCTAGGTTCTAGACAATATTTTCACGTTGGTATTTATTGCCGATAACTCGATCCTATTGGGCAGCGTTAAACGCAAGTCGACAATATTCTTGTTGGCAACATATAACTTGATTAAGATCGAGCTGAACACCGCATGAAACGCCTAATAAATGCTCATATTTTCCAGATAATTACACCTGGGCTAGATATGAAACTATTATTTTCGATGTGAAAAGCCAATTTACAATGAAATCCACCTTTGAATGCTCATAATCGGCATGAAACGCCGAATGAATTATGTTGACGTGAAACACCTGAGACTGAAACTTGCGTCTCCATTATTATGCTTCAAGTTCATATAGCTTTTCATTCGAGATAGCGTGAATCGCTGTAATCAATATTGCTATAGATCTAAATAGATTGTAATCAATATTGCTATAGATCTAAATAGATTGTAATCAATATTGCTATAGATCTAAATAGATATTTTTTCATGGCACAGAGGGATCATAATTATGGTAGAAGAATTTCGCTGCAGAGAAACCAATTTGTAAGTAATGTTTAATTTTCAGATCATGGCAAGTGGTCAAGGGGACAATTGGCTGGCCTGCAGAATTTGGCACTTGGCCAGGGCGAAATATCGACGAGGGAAAAAATTGACTGCGTGGTTGGGGCCCTCGAGAGGAATTTAGCGGAATTCGGCCAGTCGGCAAAATCAATTAATCCCTGACGGAGTCAATGAATATTCTTAAAAAATAATTTTATTACAGGGTTCCGTTGAATTATAAAGAATTATTTACGACTGTCAATAATTACATTTATTTTTCAAGAAAATACTGTTATTTGTCGTCAAAGCTCTCAGTTCATAGCATTTGGAACAATTTGGTATGGTTGAGCGCCTAAGTAAATTGTTGTGATGTATTTGTACTTTTCTTCTATTTAGATGTGTGGGTTCTTGGGGATTCGATCCCGTACTGGGCTGGTATACGAGCTTAAGCCACTGGAAAGACCAATCTGCACTGCCAGGTAAGGTGATTGCCTGGTGGGCTGTTAGGGGTCTTCGATGGCTGTCATTCCGTCGTACCATTGAAGCTCAAGTTCTGCTTTCAACCCCACCAGAAATTATTGCAATTCACCTTGGCGGGAATGACCTGACCTCTAAATCCATGTTCCAAATCTCGTGAGGTGAGGTATTTGCGTACAGCCTTTTCAACTGTTACAATTATTTGGATTAATATCCTCCAGAGACGTGTGTGGCCTGGCGCACTTAATGGCTTGCAGACCATTGAAAATAAAAGAAGGAGAGTTAATCGCTGGGGGAGATATTTGGTTCGCTCTTCTGGCAAACATGATATAATATCCCCGGATATAGATTCAGCCACTGGGTTTTGGCGTGAGGACAGTATCTACTTAAATGATGTGGGCCTTGAGTTCTATTTAGATTATCTTAAGGACGCCTTTCTAAAAAAAATAAACATTGCATAAAATAGTTTCGAATTTTTGGGGGATAAATTTGAATAAATTTATTGTGGCGGAAAAATTCTGTTAGCTGAGAGTTTATCAGGCGAACCAAAACTTCATTGCATTTTGTGTCATAAAGTTTTTATCTGCTGGTCGTGTTTTCTCCGATATCGGTGGCGGGGTCATGTCCTCATTCCCGTCGGTTTCAGGGCAAATACGACTAGTTTTCATAACTTGTCATTCATAGTTTTAGTTTTGGTCATATATCAAGCCTGGAGTACTGTGCGCTTGCCAAGAAGGACTTAAATATTTTAAGTCAAGTTGCGTTTTTTAGGATTTGCCCAAATGACAAGTAGTCTGGCAATCCTAGCTTGCCTTGTTTCTGTTACGCTTGCTTTGGTTTTCCCGTGAGTCTACCTTGCTTTATTCGTAACAGTTTTGCTGAATATACTATTCGCACAGTGTTTGCTCGTTGGTTTGCCAGTTATTTGCATACATCTTTTTAACTCTCAGCTGATAGAATATTTACGTCATATGACAGTTGCTTTATGGCATTCCCTGTTATATAAGTGGCCATATTTCTCCAATCTTATTATCTGGGAACATTTTGATGTTAAGGTTGATTGAATAAAAGTGTAAACTATACTATTTGTTATTCATTTTTTCGTATGATAAAATAACTGATTATTATAACAGGAATCCCCTTCTTATTTGGCCTGACGGTAAAATAGAAACTCGTGCCAAGCAATGTAAAGACAGAGTATGTAATATATCTAGCTGGACAGATGTGTTTCTAATTTTTGCATTGATATACAGTATCTATCATCTCATTTAGACAAAGTGCACATAATTTTGCATTATATAGTTAATTCTTGAATGTTCAGCTAGGCAGTAAGGTTTTGCTTGGCGTGAATATGATGAGCAATTCCGCCTTCGTCAAGCTTTCGAACTGACATCCTTGACCAAATATCAATAATGATATGTGATGGAATGTGTTCAAACAAGAACCAGGCCTTTTCGTTATGAAACATCACTTGGACAAACCTCCCAAAATGTTTGCCATCAATTTAAAGACGGTAATTGTACATGGCCTGCATGTATATTTGCATAAATGTGCAGAATGTGGAGCCCCTCATCCAGCTTTTAGCTGCTTTAATAAGTTCCGCTACGATTAACCTAGGAATCAATTACCCTTTCCATATAAAAGGGAGAAATTTCTAAGCAACACCTCAAGAGGCCGCGGTTGGGGACTCTATAAGGGCTCTAACTACAGGAAATATTAAAGGAGTAAATACAGAGAAAACCCCTATGAACTTTGACCTTGTTAGCTAAGCGGTAACTTCAATTAATCTTAAGGTCTTAGAACACTATATCTCTATATACTGAAGTAAAGATGTACCTATTTTTATTGACAGTTCTTTTACGTCCGGCTTCGCTATTCATTATCCAGGGCCTAGACTGTCTAGGGAAAGCAAAAAATTAAGATCAGCCCTACAACATCCAATTATTGTTTTGAAAAAAACTTTATATGGAAATTTTGGCCTGCAGAATGGCCGGTCCTTTTTTAGAAAAACCATAACCTAACTTGATAATTTCAACGGTTGGTCTTGTATCAAAAAGACATTGGGTGATTTTAGGTTAATCCATCACTTATCATTTCCTGAAGGCGAGTCTGTAAACAACTATATTGACTCAGTGAAAGATAACGATTTTGATGTGGCTGTAAACATGATACTGAGTCTAGGCAAAAATTGCAAACTTTTTAAAATGGATCTGAAGAATGCATTTTATTTATTACCAATCAATCACAATGAGTTATTAAGGATAAAATTTAAAGACACTAACTATGTTGATAAGTCTCTTCGTTTTGTTTGGGGCTGCAGTAAGCTGTTATATGTTTGAAATTTTTTTGACAATTTTGGAATTTATTGTCAAAAGTAAAATTTCATCAGGCAAGCTATAAATCAAGAGACTGTGATATGTAGTTGCTGAGAAAACTGTTACAAAAATTTCCCACCATTGACCATTAATGTCAAAAATTTAAAGTCGGTAAACTGGAAGTGGATGAGCTACAGAACTGAAATTGAATTCCACAGTATGGGACCATGTGTCAATGCTGTATGTCAAATATCAAGAGGCTGTGATAAGTAGTTGCTGAGAAAACTGTTACGAAAATATTTTCCCTGTCGGACCGCCAACCCGCCCACCCCCGGACATTGACTATACTATTACCCGGGTTTGCACCTGTGCAACCAAGTCCTCCCAGTTATCCCTCTGCTACTTGAAAACAAAATTACATCCCTGCATTCCTTCTGGTTACAGCAAGGCTTGTGAAGAAAAATCTCAGAAACGCGTTGCTCACACTTCTGGTATGTTATTGGAACTAAGAAGAGTTATCAAAGAATTTAGATGCCAACATGTTCTGTGACATTATGAGATAAGCAATACAGTGGAAATTTTCTTGCTCATTGATTTTTTTCGTGAATTCCACGAAATACTTGTTGATTTAACATTTTAATGCTCCATTTGTGTTCATATTGACATGCTCCATAATTCTAAATTGCTCCAAATGTTTCTTATATAACAATCTCGCTCCATATAGTTAAAGCGGGAAATCATTTCTCATGATGGACATTCCACTAATGAGGGAAACAAGTTAAACAAGAAGCGCCGCAATGCAACAAAAACCAGGTTTTCAACGACCAAATTTTGATGTGACAGCAATCAATAGGTCAAAGTACACTGAAGTTAATGAGTAGAAGCTGAAAATTCTATTGTAAGCAAATGACCTTGAACTTGCTCCCAGATATCTAAGTAGCAATCCAAAGCTGCCTATCAGCAAGTTTATTGTCAAAAGGTCAAAGCAAACTCAAGTTATAACATGAAAACTAAATACATTAACCTTGATCACAGACACCTGGGTAGCAATCCCAAACTGCCTCTTGATATAAGCTACCCATTCATCAAGTTTGGTGTCAAAAGGCCAAAGCAAACTCAAGTTATTGAGCGGAAACTTAATTTCTATTTTTAACAAGAATTTGTAACAGAGTTACCAACGTCCCCCGCCCCGGGAGTTTTATATGAAGCATAAAATTGCTATTTCAAAAAATTGAGGTATGGATCTCAGGACATTCAGTCCAAAATTATGATCAATGCTAGATCTGCAAATGTAACAATAAATTTGTTAAAAAAATAAAATGAAACACGGAATTTAAAAATCTATCATGTTAAGCTTTGACCTCTAAGTGTGACCTTGACCTTGGAGGTAGGGGAGCAGGTGTTGTGCATGACATAACGTCTTATTATTGAGACTATTTGTGCCAAGTATTTTCAAAATCCCTTGAACTATGAAGAAGTTATAGATTGGACACAAAATATACCCTATAACAGACTACGTAAATCTTTGACCTCTAAGTGTGACCTTGACCTTGAAGGTAGGGACACAGATGTTACGCATGACATATCATCTAATCATTGTGACTATTTGTGCCAAGTACTTTCAAAATCCCTTAATCTATGAAGAAGTAATGGACGAGACAAAAAATATACCAAATAACAGACTCTGTTAACCTTTGACCTCTAAGTGTGACCTTGACCTTAAGAGGTAGGGGTGCAGGTGTTGTACCTGACATATCGGCTTATTATTGTGACTATTTGTGCCAAGTTATTCCAAAATCCCTTGAACTATGAAGAAGTTCTAGATTCGACACAAAATATACCCTATAACAGACTATGTTAATTTTTTACCTCTAAGTGTGACCTTGACCTTGGAGGTAGGGATGCAGGTGTTGCGCATGACACATCCTCTTATTATAATGACTATTTGTGCGAAGTATTTTCAAAATCCTTTGATCTATGAAAAAGTTATAGACCTGACACAAAATATACCCTGTAACAGACTATGTAAGTATTTGACCTCCAAGTGTGACCTTGACTTTGGAGGTAGGTGACCGGTTTTTGCGCATGACACATCATCTGATTATTGTGAACAATTATGGCAAGTATTTACAAAAGTCCTTCATAGATAAGAAAGTTATGGACCGGACACGACATACATGTATACCCTCAAATAGACAATGTTGACCTTGAATGTGCAAGTACGACCTTGACTCGAAGGTAGGGGTCTGGTTGTTGCGCATGACACATCGTCTTATTATAACAAACATTTGTGCCAAGTAATTTCAAATTCCTTTCATAAATGACAAAGTTATGGACCGGACACGAAATATACCCTGTAACAGACTATGTTAATATTTGACCTCCAAGTGTGACCTTGACCTTGAAGTTAGGTGACTGGTTTTTGCGCATGACACATCGTCTGATTATTGTGAACAATTATGGCAAGTATTTACAAAATCCCTTCATAGATAAGAAAGTTATGGACCGGACACAACATATACCCTAAAATAGGCAATGTTGACCTTGAATGAGCAAGTGTGACCTTGACCCTGGAGGTAGGGGTCTGGTTGTTGCGCATGACACATCGTCTTATTATAATAAACATTTGTGCCAAGTTATTTCAAATTCCTTTCATAAATGACAAAGTTATGGACCGGACACGAAATATACCCTGTAACAGACTATGTTAATATTTGACCTCCAAGTGTGACCTTGACCTTGAAGGTAGGTGACTGGTTTTTGCGCATGACACATCGTCTGATTATTGTGAACAATTATGGCAAGTATTTACAAAATCCCTTCATAGATAAGAAAGTTATGGACCGGACACGACATATACCCTCAAATAGGCAATGTTGACCTTGAATGAGCAAGTGTGACCTTGACCCTGGAGGTAGGGGTCTGGTTGTTGCGCATGACACATCGTCTTATTATAATAAACATTTGTGCCAAGTTATTTCAAATTCCTTTCATAAATGACAAAGTTATGGACCGGACACGAAATATACCCTGTAACAGACTATGTTAATATTTGACCTCCAAGTGTGACCTTGACCTTGAAGGTAGGTGACTGGTTTTTGCGCATGACACATCGTCTG